GCACACAACTGTGACTCAAACTAGCACATTTTCAGCCTTTTTTTTTTACTTCAGGCACAAAATAATACAAGTCACCATCTATCTTGTGAAGAATTATAAAGAGGCTGAGATGAAGTTAAATAAATTACAATAAACATGATAGTAAGGAAGAAAACCAGTGACCAATAAAAACTTCGTTCTTCTCATTTTATACAATGTAATGGCCACCAATCAGTTTTGTTGCAGTTATGGGAACATGAGTATTGTAGGCTTGCATTTTTCCTCTTTTATTCACTGAAATTTATCAACACTGTCACAACCTTTGACCTGAATTTGACAGTTTTATACTAAGAATATGTTTCCAATCTCAAGATCATAAAGAGCACAAAGAATTAAAATACCTTCAACTTGCAGCAAAGTACAGTGGAGTTGCCTTTTTTTTTTTGGGAATGTGAAACGGTTATAATTTTAACAGAAAAAGGCAAACTTTCCTTCAACTGGTCAAACATTTCAAGTCAGTCTGAGTGTAAAGGGTAACATGGGCGTACCACAGGTTTAACCAGTCAAATTCAACCAAAAGGTAAAACATCAGTAGTCTAAATGACACAATGTATTTGCACTTTCCCACCTTATTTTACTATTACAACCTAGGCTCCACAAAAAAGGCTAAAAGGAACCCAGTGAATGCAGTGCCTCTTTTTAACCTCAGGCAAACATTAAAAAACAAAAAAAAACTTCTGCTCTTTCTGTACAGTAGATCTGCTGTTTTGAATCAGTTCACAATTTCTCCTCAGAGCCCATTTTAACATAGTACTTAAACAAAAACACAATAAATATCAATAAATAAAAATTTCTCTTGTGGAGAAACAATACATGACTGTTTAAACAAGCATTTGAAAAACATGAGCAAATAACAAAATTTTTTTAGCAACACCAACCAAAAAAAGTTCCTATTTTTAGAGGATTAATCTCAATATTCCCCACAACATTGAAGGCTATAACAGTTCAAGTATAAGTTGCAATCTAAGAAACCAGAAGTTAGTCCCAAAGTCTTTTACACTTCACAGTCTATGAACTAATTACAGATGAGCTACCGGAGGACACATTCACGTCTTAACAATCGGATCACACACATAAAAAGCAACAAATATATGTAGTGTGTCAGCATTTTATATACTATACATATATATCTATATATCTATATATCTCTTTCAATATTAGAAAATATCTACTTTTGGTCCACTGTACAAAGATGATCTTCCAACAGGGAACAAAGGGTTAAGTGTTATATGGATTTAAAAATGAAAAGTATCGGAGGTGAGAGAAAAGCAATGCAGATTTTTCTCCATTGTGTTGAGATTTGTGCAGTACAGTGGTGTGTAGGTTGGTGTGTGTGTACGGGTGTGTGCAGTAAGGTTTGGTGACTGTGCTGCACGCATCAAAGGGCTGGCACCACTGGTTTGAGGTAGGGTGGACTGATGGATGTGTCCCAACACACACACACACACACACGAGCACGCAGACACAGGCACATAAACACGTGAAAGCACAGATCTAAAGCATCCGAACACGCACACACAGGCACACTTCATCCTATGACAAAAGACTGAAGCAAGAATAGGCCTCGAGAAAGGCAGAGTGAGGGCAGGAGCAAGGCTAAAGACTCGGACGAGTTTAAAAAAGAAAAAAAAAAAACTGATCCAGAGGAGAAACAAACAGGTGCGCCTGCATCCCACAGGCCTCAACACTGATGAGCCGGCCCAAATCCAGCCACGAGTCACCAGAAAGCCAAATCTGCGGCTGGGACAATGCAGAGGAGCTGCGGTGCTCTCTGCAGCACACAGGTCAGGACTACACGGACAGCTGCATTTTAAGGATAAGGCACTATGATAAAGCCGAGGTACGAGAAATCCCTGACATTCTTTCTGCTTTGAAACATGGCACTGCGGGACAGGAAACAGCATTTTACTATTTCATTTCTTTTCTTTTTTTTTTTTTTTTTGGTGGCTCAAATGGCTCACTCTTAGCTTCCTCTAGTTAGTTTATTTTTGGTCCACTGCAAACTTAAGAAACTTGATTAAGACAAAAAATAAAAACTGCAAAACCAGGGAATCACGCCCCGTAGGTTGTTTTCAAGATTGGGACTACTCGTCACATAAACCACACTAAAGAGCATCTAAAATAGGCAAAGGCGAGCATCATGCGCAGGGTGCATAGGAAAGCTAGCTTTCTTTTTTGAAACAGCCTTTTTTTCCCCCTCAATCTCATCTGTGTACAGAAGCAGCAGCAGACATTTTTTTTAATTTTTTGTGGCTTAAAGACGTTAAGCGATTATGACTAACATAACTATCAAACAGAACTGCTTCATGATCTTTACATAAATATACATAAACTGAAAAGTTGTCCCTTTTTTTTCTAGCTACATACAACTTAAACATCTCATTCAGCTAGAATATCAGCTGCTGAAATTATACTAAAAATAGGATATAACTAAAAGAAAAAACAGTCTTAGCACCATGAAGTTTGACTAATACCAACTGAAATGTTAGAAGAAAAAAACAAACTATGTACAACAGATGAAGGTTGGAATCAGTCAATGCATTTGCTCTCCTGGGACTAGTGACATGGATTTGAGCTCGGAGACATCAGTAGTTTAATGGAACGAAGCCCATCTGTGTTCACAGACAGAAACAGTAAGTCATGTCTGAAGAGGAAACATTTAATGGGTCAAATTAGTCCTTTTGCTCCAGGTCCTTTCCACCAGCTGCCGCACTGTGTTAGAGCACAGACTCACAGGATGACGACACATCCAGAATTCAAACAAGTCAGACAAAGGACAGAGAGCACATCTTGGCCAGAGCGTCACTCCTCCAGCCGACCAGGCCCGAGCGGAGAGTTGCAAACAGAGACAACGCATGGAAACGACGCGGACATCTAGACTTCGAGTGAAAAAGAGAGAAATGTGGGGAGCGAGACGGATAAACAACCGGGCAGACGAGGCGAGCTGCGGCCTCAGACGGAGGCGTACGTGTTGCCGGTGGTGCTGCAGTGACGGATGGTGGGAGTCCCGGCGGAGGGCGTTACGACGCTGATGTGCTCAACGTGGTCCTGGGGGGGCTGTGGCAGCGAGTGGAGGACGCTTGGCTGGACGACGCCCACCACCGGGTGGGTCCCGTCCTCTAGCGACCCGACCTGGATCACCTGGATTACCTCATGCTCCGACTTCTCCCGCTTGGGGAGCGGTTCCCCGGACTCCTCCGTGTCCTCTTCTAAATCACTGTCCATCCCACTCGTTTCATCTAAACAAAAGCAGGAAGCACGCTGGTAAATATTCTCAAATATACTCTCAAATGATCCTCATACAAAACTCAAACATTTCAGTAATACATAACACCCAGCATGACCAGCTGAATAAATATATGAAGTAGTTGAATAAATAAATTTAACATCAAGATTTTTAGATATTTTTACTCTTCTGTTTTCTGGCCTACTGTGTTTCCTCATAGCAGATTGAAGGGAACAGCAGAATCCAATTATTGCAACTTATATGACTTTTCATTTCCTTTGGCAATAAATCTTGAGGAATTAATGGGAAATAAGTAGACGGATATTTGTGGGGTACTGCTTTAAAACAACTTTTTTGTATAGTAATCTGCTTATCTTACCTTTATCAATGCTAGTAAGAGATAGGTTGTTGAGGTTGTCAAACTGAAAAGAAACATTCAAAAAGAAAAAGAGATTAGAGGTTTATATTGTTTTCTGTACATTGGTAAATGCACTGACATACAGTGCTCTGTTTACAATAATAAACATTAAAACAAAATGCCAACAGAAAAGAAAAATGAGTTTAGAGTCCAGCGATGAAATAAAGGAGCAGAAGCTCTATGCTTACCTCGCCCATGACACCAATCGGCGTCTCTCCTGTAGCTTGAGCCACACGATGCTCCACGAGATAAAACATGTACTCATCATAAAGCAGGCGAATGAGGTGGAAGGAACCGAAGCTGGCAGCACTGCGCAGGGTCAGGTCCCTGATCACCATTGAACTGCAGAGACAGAAACAACGTTGAGGTTTGGAGTCAAACACACTGCAGTGCGTCTGTGTGGTCGACATCATTCCCACCTGTAGAAGGACCACTTCAGCAGGAACTGTCGAGCTGCCCTGGGGAAGCTGGGCCTGTGCTCATAAGGCTTCAGCACCTGAGTGACCACGTTGTCCAGCCAGGCTGCCCATTGCTCCAGAGAGCTCTGCTGCTGCAGCGTGGCCTTGAAGTCCTGCTCCAAGTGCTGAACCATGCCCTCCTCACACTGGCACACCCACGATGCCTGCTCCTGTACAACAACAGGACGGGACAAGCAGGGGGGGTTACGAAAAAGCAAAACAAAAATAATAGAAACGTGGAACGCAAAGGACTGCTCTGACCTGTACGTTGGCAAAGTCAACCCGGTTGAGATCACTCAGCATCTGGTTGATTTGCGATGTGTTCTGCAACACAGCACGTGCCGCCTGAGCCAGGTGGTTCAGAGATGTATATCTGCGCAACGTCTGCGCAAAGGCACTAACAGCGGCAATCTGAGATGAGAACACACCAAAAACACCCAGGTTATAGCTTTGCCTAACTTTCATACAGAAATGTTCTCTGCGTTTATTTCCTGCAGAAGTGCACCTTGGTCTGAATCATTCTCTGTGGAATGGCATTCATGGCATTACCAAGCCAACCTTCCAGGCTTTTGGCAAAGTTGCGAATGGCTTGAGTCAAGGCACCTGAAAAGAAAACAGTAGGGAGTTAAAGATCCTACAAACCTGAAGCAGTTATTCAGTGAATCATAAGGTTCTGTGACAGTGGCTCACTGGGAATGGGTCTCAGGACATCAGGAATAAGAATCTCCACGAGGGCCTGGTACATTAAATGGTCACAGGTGCTCATCCACTTAAGAACCGCCTCGTTTCTGCACAGCACCAACAGCTGTGCTCGAGGAAGCCGGGCTTCGATCTCACTTATGCTGCTACAGAGGGAGCAAACCGTATTTATAAAAGACTCGTCTGAACAATCCCATTACCTTCCATTAAATAAACATATCCATGTACTGATGAGGATAATTCAGTCGCACCTGTTTTCTGTTACAGTGGCGCACTCTATGGTGTCAGGAGGAGAATAACGCCAGAATGTCTGCCACAGCTTCTCAATTAGACCAAACTGGAGGTTCACGACGACATCCAATATAGCCTGAAACACATCCAGAAATTAAACAAGATGAGTGATAAATTATGACTGCAGCACCTGTGCGTGGGACAAGAACGCATTTTTCTGAAAACAACTAGATATCCAACATCTTTTCGAAACATCAGCTCATCAGCCTTTGGCTTTTTTTATTTTATTTTTGGCTTCACACCTCTTGAAGCTTAGTGGAGGCAATTACTACTTTCCAAAAAAAAGTTGAGCATAACAACATTCAAACAAGGAGAAAAAAAATGCTAAAAATATCAACAGTTCACATTTATTACACACCTTTTCTCTTTCTCTCAATTTACCTAAACTTCAAAGTGTATTTCACTTTATAATTTAAGACTTTAGTTCAGTGTTTGCAACTTTATGGCCTTCTCTTGTTAGCTTAATAAGAATAAATGTCTAAACTGGTGTCATAATAGCTACATAACTTTTGGCTGTTCAGGGGTCACCACAGCCAAGTCACGCTCCATTCTCTGCATCCTCCATCCTCACCCCAGCTACCTCTACATCCTCTCTAACTGCATCCATATACTGTATCTCCTCATTGGCCTTCTTTTGACTCTTTTTCCTGGTAGCTGCATCTCCATCTTAATGGTAAGAGCAGTATGATAGAAAGTAAGGACTTGAATCATGGCGATAAAGTGTCCAAATGTACAATGAAGAACATATGAAATGATATTAAAATGTGCAACTGACATTAAAAGACTTTTCTTAGCTGTCTTTAAGAAATGTTTTCTAACAGTGTTTTTTGTGACCTTGAAGAAAATGTTCAAAAAGAATCTATTTTATCTAACCTCACAGTGCTCTCTGTAAAGGGATTGGAGAGCTTTTACATCTTCTGGGCCAATGTTTTCAGTGTTATTCTGTCCCAAGTCCAGCTCTATAAAATCAGGGAGTGCCCGCGATGCATCTGTCGAGAAATAAAATACAAAATGAATTTGATAAACAACTATAAAGACGTTTGAAAACAGATAAATATTATATGTAGCATTTATCCTGATGCATCTCAGTAATCCAGGTAAAAAAATCAAAAAGAAAAAAATTGTATAGGTCTTCTGGACGGGTTCTTCTCTAATGAAACGTTTCGTCTCTCCTCCAAGAGACTTCTTCAGTCTGAGAGTTTCAGGCAAAATTCAGGCTTTTAAGCCCTGCCTCCATGTGACTGACACTCACATCACATGGCTATCGTTGACACCTAATTAACACCTATTGTTAACAGGGGGTGGAGTGATACTGGCAATAGCAGCGCTGTAGGAGAGGGACAACTGAAAACGGAGGCCTCCACCTCTGTTTAATGATGGACGGTCTTTCTTCACAAAAATGGCTTCTTTTACTCCTCTCTCAAACCAACGTTCCTCTCTATCAAGAATGAGAACATCCTCATCTCTGAAAGAGTGACCGCTGGCCTGTAAATGAGTGAAAACTGCAGAGTTCTGGCCATTAGATGTAGCTCGTCTGTGTTGGGACATTCTTTTGAACAGTGGCTGCTTTGTTTCCCCGATGTATAACTGGTCGCAGTCCTCCTGGCACTTAACAGCATATACAACATTGCTCTGTTTGTGTGGGGGCACCGGATCTTTGGGGTGAACCAGCCTTTGCCGTAATGTGTTTTGGGGTTTGAAAGCCACTGGGACATCATGTTTAGAAAATAAACGTCTCAGTTTCTCTGAAACACCCGCAACATACGGAATAACCACTGGTTTGGGTCTGCATTTGGGGTCTTCATTTTCACCTGAAGGTTGCATGGAATCCTGTCTGTGTTTCCTGTCTGCTTTCAGGAAAGCCCAATCAGGATAACCACACTGCTCCAGGGCCTGTCGTGTGTGTGATTTCTCTTTCTCCCTGGCTCCTGGGTTTGTAGGGACACTGTCTGCTCTGTGGTACAGAGTCCTGATCCAGAAGACCTATACAATTTTTTTCTTTATGTAGCATTTAGTTTGTTTCAGCTCTTAGCTCTACAGACAGATGGATAAAGCGGAAAAAAAAAGCTGCTGACCTAGGAACTGCTGGTGGTGCTGGCTCTGTGCAATAACCGTCTGCTCTGCTGCACCAGGATGGTGCTGGCTTCCACTTGTGTAACTGTCCCCAGAGCCACCGTCAAACTTCTGCACTGGCTTGAACCTGAAGTCACAATGAAAACCTCAGTATTCCAGCAACTTGGAACCGTGTCGCAACAAGTGTCGCGTGCCAGGGTGTCCTACCTCTGCTTCTGCTGAACAGGCTGCTGTCTGAGGGCCATGTACTGCATGTCTTCTTGAAGTCTATTAAGCGGGGAATCTGGTTTCACACGTATACCATAGTAATGGTATTTAGAGTTCCCTCTGCGAGGCAAAGCGAAAAGGTAAACATGCTGACAGTCGTACTGAGATTGCACAAAAATCTTCAGTAAATAACATGGGTGGGGGGAGAAATGATCAAGTCAATATGATGCGTTTTTGTATGGTTTAAAAAATAAGCAGAAACATCTAACCTCGTTCCAAGACGTCTTGTACGGAGTCCCATGAAGATGGAGCGAATAAGTTTGCCAAAAGAGGCTGCATTTACAGGGTCCAGTTTCTGCTCCTGGCAGTGGCGAAGATAATGATTGTAGAGGGTGGATCGTGGTAGACTTACTCCCTCTGCTGTCTCGTAATTGTCAAGAAGCCACTGGAGCTAAAAGAGGGCGAATTGGGCTTTTTAACTCACTTAACTACATTTATACCCTGGTCAACAAACACGTGATTCAGTAAAAATGTTGCTGCGTAGCAGCTTTGCAAAAGCTTCTATGGCAGCCAGTGATTTGAGTGCAATTAACAAACAAAACAAGCCACAAACATACAAAAGAAAACCCACAACACTAAAACCATATATAGAAAGATAGACAGGCAGAGCAGCAAAAGATTAGGATTAGCAAAACTTAAGGTAAGGTGAGGGCGTGCATTTCGAAAAGCAACTTACATGGCTGTTGAGCAGCGAGCTTCTCTGACTGGATAAACCCTCAGATTTTTGGAGAGTCTCAATCGCCATTTCAATCTGATAAACCACGAAGCACAGGACAACAAAATGTAAGAGTGGGGGGGTGGGGGGTGGGATCAAAACCAAAGCAAGAAAACTAAAAGAGCTTGATGTGTACACAAGCAAAAAAAATAAAATAAAATAAAATAAAGACAGTCTAGAAAAGATCAAAGCAAGCACCGCTAACCCCAAGCAGAGCAGGTCTACCTGTCATTTACAGCAAATCTTTGCTTAGCAGAGAAACGGGCAAATGTAACATACAAAACATCGAATAACCTATACTGTGAATAGCTGTAGTACACACAACTATTCAGGACTTATGAATCATAAATACACCAGTAACAACTATGAATGTGAAGATGACATACCCAACTCTTATAGAAAAACAACAGAGTGCAGTAAGGTGGCTATGTGCAAGGTTTTCTGTGAATTTCTGTCTGTTTTTAGATAGATAAAGATGACCATGAAATGATGTACAAGAGTTTTAAATCACCCCTGATTTCTTTAAAATTTGCATCTAAGACAATTGTGAGTCTTGACCATGTGACCGTATGATCTACAGTAAAAGCTTTGGGGCTAAGCAATGGGCAAAAATCTGCATTTACCATTGCTGTACATGCTGTCAACATAATGAAAAACGTACTGATGATGTAGAAATCATAAAAACTGTTAATAATAATATTAATAAAAATATTAATAATATATTAGCGTGAACATAAGCTATCTAATGTATATAAAAATGGCAGAAAGCTGTGTGTGTTATGGATTTAATAACTGCAGAGAAACAGGAAAACATCTCATTTCACAGGTAAGCAGATTTTATCTTATTTATCTCAATGTGGATGTGATCTGACCAGAACTGAAGCTAATAATGTAACTGTTTACAATTAATATAAGCTTATAAAGCTGATGTAATCACCGTTAATTATTGAACTGATTAGCAGATATTAGCTTCTGCAGCATATATTACTGCACATAGTGTAGAACTCTGCTGAATCATGCTACAGTTGAGCACAAATTATTAAATATTGCAAGTTGTTTTGGCTCTAATTTATGTAATATTTACACAGTGTAAAAATAAAATATATTTGAATATTTCTAGCTTTCTATAAGACAAACCTGTTGAGGAGATGGTTAGCCAAGAGACAGGTTTCATCCTAAAATATCACCAAGTATGAAGTGAACAAGTGTCAACTGGTAATAATAATAACAATTATTATTTATGACAGGTAAAAATTAGTTCATTAGTGACTGACTTCAACTGGCTCAATCTAGTGATATTCAGCTATCATCCAACAAGCCAGACTTTCGTGTAATATTTTAAAATCATCTTGATCAGTAGTGCTTCTGGTTTTCTGAAGGTTTTCAATTTGTTTTTCTGAACTGTTTTTGTTTTACTGCATGACTTAAAACTTTTGCTCAGTCCTGTAGACCCAGTTATGTGAGGTGACTGCATGGCAAAAATAGTCTGAAGCTGCTGTAAGTTTGTTTTGTTTTAAAAAAGGAATACATACATTCAGCTATTTGAAACTTGAAATTTTAAGATAATTTTTTTATGTGTACACTTTTCACCTTGACCGATACAGAGTTATAAAACATGACATCATTGCTGCCAAAACCTCATTTAAAAAGACTCAAATGGAATAAAAATATTAAATATTAAGATCATCAGAGCGTGGCTGTTTGGTTTCAAGCTTGACTTTGTTTAGTACAGAATATAAAATGTGTGTGTTCATGCCTGATCATAACTTTTAGTCAGTGATATTATGAACACAAAAGCAGTCTGGAACAGGTTCAAGCATAAGAAGCCATTTCTACGAGTGCTTTGCAACTTACGGTGGCTGGGGAGGCCCGTGCGGTTTGGGTGGCAGGGTGTGGTCCGGCGTTGTCCATCAGGTAAGCCCCGGAGCTGCTGCTGATTACCTGACCCCCCGCCAAGCCCATGCTCATCCCTCCGGTGCTCCCTCCTCCGTTGTTGGTCATGCCGTGAGATGTCACCACGGTGGAAACTTGCGACGAGCTGCCCTGCGTGTCGAAGTAACTCCCACCGCTGTTCTGGCTGTACAGCTGTGGCTCAGAGTACGAGTAGGTTCTTCTGTTCAGTAGAGAGGTTAGAGGTAAGAAGAAAAAAAAAAACAGCTCATGACGAAGAATATTAAAAATGCAAGACCTTTATTTTTTTTATGTTCCTCACACTTCTTTGAACAAAGCCTGTGAAAATGACAAAGCCCCATGGTGCTCGTGCAAGATTTGGCATTTGCACCAAACTGAACTGTAGATTAACTTAGTCTTCATGCCTGTATTCAATAGTCTCACACACTGTCATATCCCTGTACTTCATATTAGCATTCCAAGCACACTGCGGGAAACTAAAATATCAAGGCTGCTGCATATGGAAGCAGCTGAAAATATCTCTCTTAACTTATACGAACAGTAGGCGTTCTTTTTTGAAACAACTGACAATCAGATTATTGAGACCTTTAAGGCACTACAATAACAGTGTAGCTTATATTAAAGAAACAAATTGTTAAAACTGACAGCGTCCCTCCCCACTGTCATATTAGAAGCTGAGCCACACACAAAATTACGTTCTACAAATTAAAAAAGTTTGAACATGTTTTTCTGGAAAGAGAATTTATTAAGATATCACACTGACAACTTCAGGCACGTAAGGGTAATAAAAGCAGTGCGTGTCTGAAAGGAGCTATATTAAATTAACATGGGCCTCATGCTCACCCATCATACACCAGCTCCTCTTATATGTACACTTGTAGAAGTCACTGTGTCTGTTATATACAAACATTTAGGCATTTTTCACAGTAAGACAAACCCAGGGGACCCCTTTCAATCATGGCATCGACACTTAAAAAAAACAACAACACTGTCCTACTTCTGGTCATGTTCAGGTGACTGGGTACAATAAGGCATATGACTGCAAGCTCCTCACAGAAAAAGAAGGAAAAAACAAATGAAAGGAGAAATCAAACACAAAAGACAACTGTGCTCCCACAACATCATGTGCTTGTGACATGAATGATCACATGAAAAGACTTGAGAGGAGATAGAGAGAGAGAGACAACAGGCTGCAGGGATGGAGTGTTGATATTTCTGGCGCTGGCCAACAGACTGACTCACATGTTGCCGTTGGTGTAGACGCCACTGTTTTCCTCGACATACTGCACCTGTGCTGGGTAAACATGCTGGACCTGTTGAACAGTCTGGGCCTGGCAAAAGAAATCGCAACAACTTCAAATTATTTGTTTCAGTGTACTTCAAACGTTACGTGCGTACGTGCGTTTGGATCCAAAATATGCGTTGAAAAAGGCCAGGTTGTACCTGCTGCTGGACAGGCACCTGCTGGGTGGAGCCGGTAGGCTGGACAGGCACGGTGGTCTGAAGAGGGACAGTGGAGGTGGAGTCAGCGCCTGCTTCAGGGGTCTGCATGGCGCCTGAATAGAAAAGAAAAAAAAACACAGATTATCAGTCGATGAATTATGGCCTCGCCAAGCGAAAGCCAGCGCAACTATTAACCTGTTGGCCTCATGGGTGAATCAACTTTATTATCTCATAATAACCACATCATAAACTCAAAGCAATATAAATTCAATATCCCTGTTAAATAAAGACAGTTAACCAAAGAATACGTCATTGATGCCAGAATCTGCGGCTAAACTTTTACTCCATTCTACAGTTTTGGAACATATTACCCCCTTCCAAAAAAAGTGACATTAATCTCCACTAACTTAAAAGCAAACTTGACGTTTCACTTTTTCCATGCAACAAAAGAAAAATTTGTCTTGAGGAAATGTTTGTCCAAAAATGCAGTAAGTATCCACAGTTTTATGTGCTTAGGATGGAAAACCCAGCCAAACAAGGACCTAATCTTGGGAAAACAGGAAGCACAAGGTGTCAACATAAACCCAATGTATGTTTTGCCCAAATCAATCCCACCAAAGCAGCTCCAATTGTACCCGAACACCTGTTTCCACCCTTTGGTACTCGGTGTACCGAGAGCCTCATGCATCACTGACACATGGTCTTGTCTCCACATTTGCAGCCATAAACCGAGTTAATATTTAACAAACTCTAAATAGATGGTGTTTCTCATTTGTCTGCCAGTCCCCACTTTTACAGGCTTAAAGTTGCTTCTGACTGAGTCCTGGAACAGGAATTAAAAAACATGTTTCTGAAAACAGGAAATATGCCTTTTTACCAATTTATTGCAATTACAAATAATACCAAAGCAACACTGTGATGCTGTATGTGGTATACTTACTAAGCCTTGCCTAACAGGGCAAAATTGAAGAGAAGCAAGAGAGTGAGTGGAAAGACTTGGGCTTAACCTATGTTTTTGAGTTAATAACAGTGTGGCTACCATCACGCGTTGCTTCCTGGGAAAGGCCAACTCCTCCCCATCACAGTTTCCATGAACAAGCCTCTCTTGGTTAATTAAGCGGGTACTCCTAAGAGCTTCAAATCACTCCAGGGACAGCTTGCCCCTTTCCATTACCTTCAAACTTGCCCTGTCCCCTTTCTAAGCTTTCACTCTATTCCTGTCGGGGTAGCTAGACCAAAACTAAGCGCACTATCGGTGAAAGTATCAATGAGACGGCGTGGAAATGAACCGTACTTTTCTGTAAACATTCAAGCTAGCGGAGCCTTTTGATTTCATCAAAACAAGTGGTGAGCACCTTTGGGAAATAAATGCATTTACTGTGAGTAGCGGCAAGCTGAGGAGCCAGACAGACCTATGTCTGTTAACAAAACCACTGCTGTTCAGTCCAAATATTTGTAATCTCTCAATCTGATGCGTCACCGTGAATAAGGAGCACCAAACTCAAACACGTCACGCCTCATATTTAACCTGTAGCGCTCAGTTTCCTACATCCTGAGCCAGAAAAAGGACTTGATGAGGGTGAACATTTTATATTTCGCTTGTATCCCACGAAGCAGTTTGAAAGCTAAAGCAAATGGCCCCAACTGAGCCCACCTAATTGAGGAAAAGGAGCCCCTGCATCACAGCATACCCTCGTCGCCTCACCTCAACCCCCTTCACAATGACACACACACACATACCTCCTGCCACACCATTCAGGCGCTCCCTTGTGGCCCACTTAAATGCCGTGCTCCACTGAGCAAGTGCAAACCCTACAAAGACACAGAGGAACAAAAGCCACCAAGGAGTGCAACATTTTTTTTTGTTGCCCGCCCCGTGTTTTCTCCCTTCAGTTCCTCCTCGCTAACATTCCCAGGCCACGAATCGTGAAGAGGCGCACACGAGGTTCACAGCCAACGGAAAACGCAATAATTTGCCTCTGTAATGATAGCGTATGACAAAGTTGTGAGTGTAACGTATGGAGTCAAGACATACACGGTAGTGAGCAGGACTGATTACATCCAGGAGAAATATTCTCTTTTTCTTTTTCCGACTCAGCAGCTTGATCAGGTGGCAGGAAAACAGGCGGAGGGAGATGTGATTGGGAGCTTAAGTAGTGGAGGGTATGCAAAGAACTGTGTTTGTTTACAAAGTGGGGGGGGGGGGATTAAGAGTACAAAGAAAAGTGGGAGTGACTTTCATTGTAAGGACTGGTAATGTCAAAAACTATGAACCTATAAAGAAGAATGTTAAAGCACTGACTCTATGCACCAGAGACTAGTGCTGTACCAAACGATTATTTTCTAATTGATTAATCTAACCATTATTTTTTCCATTAATCAATTATTCTAACATCTAATCTATAAATTATTCTGATGTGAGTGCACTGGAAATTTAAAATGTTTTCATCAAATTAACAAGAACAGTTCTTTAATATTGTAATATTT